GGGGCGCTGCTTAAAAAGCGCGGGCGCATTTGAGGCAGCGGTCCATTGCGGTTCAATGTCATTGGCACTGGAGCAACTGGAGCTAGCTCGTGAAACTCGTCCAACACGCCCCTTCTCTATCCCAAGGTGGAATGCGGCTGAAATAGGGCCTTATTCGGGCGTAATCGGAGGTTTTCCTTGCTTTCTTCTTTTTCAGACCACTCCCCTCTTATAGCTCATTAGTGAGCGCTCTTCCACACCTAATCTATCCCGAAGCTTGCCCCTTTAAATTCGACTCATAACACGTCAAAATATCGAACTTAATTGTTCTAGCAGGAGCTATGGTTGCTCCTTCACAACGGCGTACGCTCTGCATATGTCTACATCAAGACAATGGCACCTACTAATTGAAGGCAAGTGGCACGATAAATTGCGCATTAAAAAAGAGGCAAATGTGCCCATTAAAAGGATTCTGTGCCCCAAAGAAGTGAAACGTGGCGCTTTTTCGGGCGACGAGTTGTTCCGTCGCAGCCTAACGAGGTTTTCCTCGTCCCTAAGCCCTCGGATCGTCCCTTGCCGTGGGACCCAAGCCGTCGAAACAGAGATTTAGGTCAGAGCGTCACAGTATCGATGCCAGTACTATCGACTCGATCAGAGCGGAAATCGACAGGGAAAACAAGACTCCCACTTCGTATGTTGCGCACTGCTTCCTTTCCTCAATTTCACCTCGCCACTGTACCTCTTATCAGTTCCTCCTTTCATTTCCACTTCTCAACGGTAACCAACTTCTCACGCCATCCAACTCGAATTCATGCGGTTTTCTTCTATGGGCACTTTCACAGTCGGCCGTTGATCATAACGGTTGGACGACCAGTACTTATCTAATGCTATGCCATCGTTGCGATCGCACGACCGACTATAAAAGCACCCTATGGGTGGCATGGATGTGTATCAAAACGGATACCAATGCCACACAGACCATATTATGGCGTCTACAAATGGACTTTTTAATTAGGTAATAAAGTGATAAAGTACTCGGCACACTGTCTGCAACAGGACAGAGAAACATGGAAGCACACAAACATCGTTCGAAAACTCGAACAAATAATGGATCTGTCGCTGAGTAAATGTAAACGAATAAATCGTGAACAGCCTTCGGAAAATTGATCCACACTTGGACGAATATGAGACCCAATGAGGATTTGATTTGACTTTATAGGTCGTAGTAACTTTACCCACCGTTGTACTCCACACAAATACACTGTGTTTCGAAACCATCCAACAATAACCATCAGCGAGAGAGGCGCAGTCATCTCGGATTTCGTTCTTACCAACTGAAATAATATTGATTATAGCAACTGAATACAGGGCCCTGATGTACTAAGGGGGGAGCCCCGCACAGAGGTCTCAACGCTTTGGAACAACGTCGAATATTTAACCTCAAGGATGCTTATGGTTAGCCCCTCATACTGCTGAGTTGAACTACTACGTTCCAACGTCAATTACAATCGTATGGGCGAATAAGGGGGCATATAAATAGTCAAGCTACCAATGCATACTTGAGAGGAACGTTTCCATCACGAGAGCTGGATATTCGATCGGGATACGATCCAGGACCAATTCGAGGTCATTTGTTGTGTTGGCGTGAACCATGTTCCCTAAAATCACACTCCTTAAACTTGTGAGACATTAACATTACACAACCGCCATCTTGTAGGATGCAAAAAATCGTGCACACTCTGATGAAAGAGATAGCATTTCATTTTCACATTTAAAAAATGAATTAAGAATAAGTACGAAAGGTT